CCAGCTGTCTTTCCTGTGTCTGAGAAAATCCCCCTGCTGTACACTCTGGAACGTGTCAGACGTTGAGAGTGCACACACTCAGACGCACGCCAGCTCCAGGCAGGTGGGAAAGGCCCTTCAGTGTTCTCTCCCGCTCCCCTCCCAGTGCCCTCCCTTAGGGTGGGATCACCAGAGACCATTCATTATGGAGGCCAAGCCACAGCATCCACCATCATTATCCTCCTCCAACACAGACGTGGTGCCCTTTGCGCTCTCCCCTTCTCTCCCCAGATCTGCTCCTGGCAGCAGCTTTGGAGACCTTGTGTTGAGCTGATTTATATTACAGTGAGCTCGAACACGCTATCTCCACTTCTGTCCTGCTGTGTTTACAAATAGATTCTTAAAACAGAATCAAGTTCACACCCCAGCCCAGCCCCTAGTGCTCTGATTCGGGCATCTGACCTTGGCCCTGTGAATCTACCTTTTCTTTCCCTCTCTTTTGGTGCCGGGAATGGAACCCAGGGTCTCGCACATTCTGAGCACATACTCTACTACTGAACTGTATCCCCGGCTCCCCAAACTGCTTTTTTAACTGGAACCCTGGGAGATTCTAATGCAGGAGGTGTGGAGCCTTTCTGCCTCTGGATGCAGACACACATTGTCTGCCCAGTCACGGATATCTTCTGCTGTTGCTGCCTACCATAGTCACAGAAGCCCATGATTTTTGTGAGTGTTTTGCCCCACCGCCTCCCCATGCAGTTGAAAGCCTTGACTAGCATGAACTTTTATTTACTTATTTTTTGAAAGCTCTTTTGTGAGCTTCATTAAGATTAGGGACCATTTCTGTTACTCTGTCTTTGAGTGAAGCTTATCTAGAACAGGTGGAGTCCTAAGCAGAAGCTACTGGATACTTCTGCTGCTGACTCCAGCAGAACCTGCCCTGGCCCTAGACAAAGCTGCCCCGAGCTGCCAAGGAAGCTTCAGGCTTCTTGCTCCACCGCTTCAGCCCCACTCTCTTTCCACTTTATTGTGTTTGTTCCTCAGAACCCCACGTACATCTTTCCTTACAAACGACTTTCGTTGTATTATTCTGTTAATAACACAAGAAGTTCTCATTGTAGAAAACTTGGAAAATATAAACCAAAAAAAAGTCACTGGTAATTGCCAATCAGATATATAACTACTGTTAATATTTTGATTGTGAATTTCTCTGGTCTTTTTAAATATGTATATAATTATGCATACTTTTTATTGGTTTGTTGTTGTAATTTTAGGTGGGGGTCTTGCCCTGTCTCCCAGTCCAGCACCACCATGCCCACTCATCATGCATACTTTTTTAGAAGCAAAAACTGAAACACAGAGCACCTATTATTCTGGAGTGTTTTCTCGCTATGTTATGAACATTCCCCATGTTACTCCACATCCTTCCTCACTATCACAAAATGGCTGCCACTGATCCTTCGTACAGATGCAGATTTTATTTCACCTTTTTTTCCTGATGCTGTGTCTAGCTCTCCCTGCTAAAAATCTTTATAAATCCTCACCATACACACTTCTTGTGATTATTTTCTTAGAATAAATTCTTAGAAACAAAATAGTTGAGCCAAAGGTATTATTCCAAATGCCCTTCATAAGGCTTGTACCAGTTTGTGCAGCATATGAGTTCACATCCTTTCCACTGCCAATTTTTTTTGACTCAACTAACTATAAAATACCCTTTTGTTATAAGTATTTGAAATTAAAATGTCATCATCCATTTACTTAGAGGGAAAGCTTCCTTTTCCGTTTTCATCTGAGTCTCTGCCTAAGATTGTATGCACCAGTATTTGAGCTTGGACATTAGGGCATGTCTCCTGTGTATGCTTAACTTTGTGCCCGGAGAACTCAGTGTTAAGATATTTTTTCTGCTGCATTTGACTTACTGATGCAGGGGGCCAACACTGGCCCAGAGGTGCTTTGGCTGCCCTCTGGTGGCACAGAAGTGCAAAGACGCTGAGATGGAGCTGGTTGGGTTCCTGCTGTTTTCCTGCATTAACCCTGCCTGACCCCCTGCCCACCACCATCACCCCATTCTAATACCTTCCACTCCAAGTGCCCTGTGTGTGGGGTGAGGCGTTTCTACACCCTTGTGACCTGGGTCACTGCAGATGCAGTTAATACTTAGGCTCGCTTGCAGTGTCCACCCATGGGTGAGAAGTGCATAAATGACAGTTTGGAAAACTAGCTTCTCTCTGGGTAAAGGGGAGGTGATCCTGAAAGCTGCTTCAAGAATAATTCAAGAGGTGACAACTTTGAAAGGGCCACCATGAGACTGTTTATTTTAAAGATAAATCCTTTGGTTTGAGAGAAAGAGATGCATGTCCAGCTAGAGCTCAGTGTTCTTCAGTTTACAGTCGAGCTATTTCAGAGTCAGGAACAGAGCTAAAAGGTGGACATTTTAAAATGCCCCAGCTGTATGCAGTGGTGCATGCCTGTAATCCCAGAGATTGGGAAGCTAAAGCAGGAGGATCACAACCAGCCTTGGAAATTTAGCAAAACACTGTCTCAAAATAAAAAAAGTGTGGGGATGTAGCTCAGTGGTAAAGTACCCCTGGATACAATCCCTGCTACCAAAAATTTTTTTAGATAAAATAAATTAATTAAAATGTCCCAAGCCTCTCTTTTTCTAGGAAGTTTCTTTTCTTCTTTGATACTGGGAATTGAACGCAGGGGCTCATCACCATTAAGCTACTTCTCTAGCCCTTATTAATTTTTTTTTAAAATTTTGAGACAGGGCCTCGCTAAATTGCAGAGGCTGGCCTCAACCTTATGATCCTTGTGCTTCAGCGTTCTGAATCACTGGGATTACAAGTGTGCATCTCCGAGCCCTACTCTCGGGAATTCTTTATGATCTCCTAGCCTTAATCCATGTGTTTAAGGCTCTCATTTCTTAAACTCAGTATTTTGTAATCTGTCTGATAAATTCCAGTCTGAGGTCTTCGTTGTCTGATTTTCTGTCTGCTGACTCACACTGTTCCCTTGCATATGATGTTTTTGTTTGCTTTTTAACTATGCCCTTATTATTATTTTTCCTTGAAACTTTATTTTGGGAATTTTTTGAGGCCTGGTTTGAAGTTGGTTTCCTCTAAAGAGGATTTGCTTTCCTTCTTCCAACCCCCAGAACACTTTAAATTGAATGTTTGGCCACAGAGTTTTCTGCCCACATAGGTAGCTGTGAATTTAGATGGCAAACCACAGGATTCAGTCAGACCTGAGGTGGAATCCTCTCTGTCACTCTTCACTTTGAGAGCTCAGGCAAGTCATTTAATCTCTTTCATCTTCTGTATCATCTGTGAAGCAGCAACAATGATACCCACCTCCTAAGGCTATGCAAGGGTGAAATGGGAGAGTGAATACAAATGAAGAGCTCACATGGGGTGCTTGCCCACAGTTGGTAGCCAGTGAATGCTGTCCTCTTTCACTGAGTAACCCCCTCCTGCCCCAGCCAGTGGGAGCAGCCTGAAGGCAGCCCCAGCTTTAGTGAGTGTTGCCACCTGGCTCGTGTTGTCACTCTGCCTTTAGCTTTGAGATGTCTGAGCCTTCAGACACCTTTGAGGGTCCAGGGCTATCTTGGAGGTCACTTGGAGCTGGGTAACAAGAAAATTGACATTTGACAGAAATGTTTTCTTCTTCAGATGCTGTAGAAATTGGTTGGTTGGTTATGATTTAAAAAAAAATGTCTTGGGCTAGTTTGAGGCTGTAGCTCACTAGTGGGGCATTTTGCCTAGCATGTGTGGGGTCCTGGGTCCTGGGTTCCAGCCCCAGGCCCATAGGGGTGGGGACCATTGTAACTATCTGTATGGCAGCAAGTTAGTAACAAGACATTCAAACTGCTTATAATTTTTAATCATGTGGAAGTTGGCAGTAATATAAATATGAGATGAAAAGAAAGTAGTATATTGGCACAAAAATGTCTTAAGTTCTTTCTGGAACAAGGGATAAAAAGAAATGTAATAATACAAACTCAACTATATTGAGAAAAATGGGGAAAGGGTAGCTGGAAGGAATGTGTAGGTGTCAGCAGTCATTACTTCTAAACGGTGGAATTCTGAGTAATTTTCCCCTCGGTTGTCTGAGGCTGGGTTTTGGAGTTAAAGTCTTGCATTAAGTCAGAACTTATGTGTCCTTAGACAAATGACAAACCCTCTGAGTCTTAGTTTCCCAATCTATTGGGTTGTTGCGAAGGTCAAATGAATAAAGAGGACTGGGGCTGCAGCTCTGTGGTAGGATGCTGGCCTGGTGTGTGCGAGGCCCTGGGTCCAGTCTCCAGTGCTGCAAAAAAGAGAACAAGTCCAAAGTGCCCAGCCTGTGATCTGGCACATGTCAGTTCTATAAATGGTGGCTGTTACTATTTTTACACATCTACATTCTTTCCACATTTCTTTTATGCTGAACATATGTTACTTCATACTCAAAGAAAGAGTAAAATTAAAACTTCAATGACAAGCAAAGGTGTGCAGAAAGTCCCCAGCTTAGATTTTTTTTTTTTTTTTTTTACTTCCTGAGACTGCAAAAATGATACACATTCAGTAGAACCCACACCTTGAATTTTGAATTTTTAGCTTTTCCCTGGCCAGCAACGCTCCATGCTGGGCAGTGGCAGCGCCCACTGGGCCACATGACCACAAAGGGAAACAACCGACATTCCGCAGTATGTGGCTAAGCTGTGATGTTCAGGAAGTTGGGTGAACAGATGCACTTTTGACTTCAGATATTTTCAACTATCCATACATAACCTCATTGTAAGTTGAGGAGCATCTGCAAATACTTTGCTGACAAACTTATCTTATATCCCTAAGTTGGGTTTCCAGACTCCTCCCTGCTATTGAGGAGGGGCCCAGAGACCTAAATACTAAGGAGCCAGTGCTGTGGGGTGTTAGGCAGACCAGGGCCTGGCCTCAAGTGGTGAGGGGCTAGTGAGAAGGTGAATTGTAACCCAGGTGGCTTTAGAGATGCTGAGCCTGTCCCTGTGCCCTGTCTAGGACGCAATGAGCCCCTGAAGAAGGAACGGCTCAAATGGAAGAGTGACTACCCCATGACCGATGGGCAGCTTCGGAGCAAACGGGATGAATTCTGGGACACGGCACCTGCCTTTGAGGGCCGCAAGGAGATCTGGGATGCCCTCAAGGCTGCTGCCTATGCTGCCGAGGCCAATGACCACGAGCTGGCTCAGGCCATCTTGGATGGAGCCAGTATCACTTTGCCTCATGGTGAGCTGAGCCGGTGCGGGGGGCAGGGCCGGCGGGGGGCGGTGGTCATCCACCACAGAGATTAGTGGTGGAGGACAGCTAGTGATCAGCCACATCAGAAGTTTCTATCCAAGCTGGTGGAGGCAGGGAGGTGTGTGGGTGGGGGGAGCAGCTATTCACTTGTTCAATTGAGCCTCACCTCAGAGCATAGATCAGGAAGGTGGGGACACAAAGAAACAAAAGACAGGGGTCCCTGCTTGACTACTGAGAGGACACAAAGACACCAGCAAACCTGAAAGCTGAACACTTGCTCAGGGTGCTTTGGGATCCTAGAACATCTGAAGCACCAATCTTCTGTTGGGTTTTATGTACCAGACATTGAGCTAGAAGCTTCTACTGCATGGTCTCATTTAAGTTCACATCAGGCTCATGGGCTATGCAAAGTAGAGAGTCACAGACCCGGGTCTTAACTTGACTGTATCCTAGCTGTGTGACCTTGAATAAGCCACTTCTTATATTAGAACCAGAGGACTTTGCAAGTGTTAAGGTACACAACTGTTAGGATTCAGCAAGGTGCATATAATGTCCGTTATACAGTCCCAGCATCAAGGTCGTGCCTGCGACTCAGTGAATACACTTCCAGCTGCACTGTCTTGCACCCGGCATCCAGCACCTTGTGCTCAGCAGTTGTTGGGTGAACAAATGAAAAATTAAACGATGTGCTGGGGCTGATGAGCCAGCACCTGGTGGAGCCAGGATGCCAGCCCAGGTCTTCCTAGCTCCAGCCCTGTGCTCCTCTGGTCATAAGGCTGTCCCAGAAAAACCTTTCTGTGGGGACTGTGGGGCAGCCATGGTGGCTGGATTAATCTGCTTAGATTGCTATTACAAAGTTCCACAGACTGGGTGCCTTCAAAAACAGAAATCTGTTTCTTATAGTTCTGGAAGCTGGAAATCCAAGATGAGGGTGACGACTGATTTAGTTTTTGGTGAGGGTTCTCTTCTTATTTTGCAGATGGCCAGCTTCTTGCTGTGTCTTCACATGCTGGGAAGAGAGAAAGGGAGAGAGCTCTCTGGCATCTCATAAGGATAGTAATCCTATGGATTAGGCCTCACCTTTATGACTGATTTAACCTTGATTGTTTTCATAGAAGTCTCATCTCCAGAAAGTTACACTGGAGTGTTAGGGCTTTAACATTAATTTTCAGGAACTCAAGCATTCAGTGCATGACAACATCCCCAGGTGAACACTGACCACCCTGTGTTTCCCACAGGCACCCTCTGTGAATGCTACGACGAGCTGGGCAATCGTTACCAGCTGCCCATCTACTGCCTGTCGCCACCCGTGAACCTGCTGCTGGAGCACACTGAGGAGGAGAGTCTGGAGCCCCCCGAGCCTGTCCCCAGTGTGCGCCGTGAGTTCCCACTGAAGGTGCGCCTCTCCACGGGCAAGGACGTGAGGCTCAGCGCCAGCCTGCCTGACACAGTGGGGCAGCTCAAGAGGCAGCTGCACACCCAGGAAGGCATCGAACCATCCTGGCAGCGGTGGTTCTTCTCTGGAAAGCTGCTCACAGACCGCACACGGCTCCAGGAAACAAAGATCCAGAAAGATTTTGTCATCCAGGTCATCATCAACCAGCCCCCACCACCCCAGGACTGATGGGCCCGTGGACTCCTGGGAAGAGAGGCCATGGAGGGCCTCTGCAGGGCTGAGCAGCTGGCCTGGAGCACGAGGCCCCCCACCCTGCTGCTGCCTTCAAGTGCTGTTGTTTTCTTTAAGGGCATCTCCCCGCTCTATGGCTCTGGGTGAGCCGTGAAGGGACCCTGCCTCCCAGGGGCACTGTGGGCCACCAGTGCCCAGCACCCAGGGAACAATGCTGCCACACACAGGCCTTGCCAACCTTGTCAGAGAAAAGGTGACTGGGGCCCTCCACCCTGCATCTCTCCTGAAGCAGGTTGGAGCCACAGGGGCCAACCTGGAGGCCCTGAGGCCCAGATCTGTCATCCGGTGCTGCACTGTGCTCACTCTGGTTTTCTGCTCAGGGTCGGGAAGCAGCTGCTGTCTCCCTCCTCCGCTCCCACCCTGACTTTGCCCTGGGCACAGTGCCAGTCCCCTTGGGAGGAGGGAACCACCAGTGAGTCCCAGGGCTTGGGGAGCCTGAGGCAGGCGGGCCTCTGCCTCTCCCTGCCTCCAGCACAATTGGCAGAGGTGAGGCAGGGGGCTGGATGGTTGGGCTTTGTGGCAGGGGTCTGCACGGGGCCATTTCCTGGCTGTAACTCAAGTGGTGGTGGGTCTGCAGCCTGGTCATGGCCTCCTCAGCAGGTCCTCATGTACAGACATATGTGCATATTTATCAATAAAGCCTTTGGCTCCTCCTCTTTTGCCTGGCATTCAACTTTGAGTTCTGTGGATCCTGCTTCTGTGGGAACAGGTGGGCATGGCCTCCGTGGCTGTCCAGGCACAGCAGAGCACACAGACCAGAGCTGCTATCTTCTGGGCCCTAATTTCAGTTCCTCTTGTATTCTTGGAGATCTTAACCTCCGAACCCACGTGGCTTTTCTCTAAGGTGGAGGTGACTCTGCCTGCAGTTGCTATGAGGGTTAAGTGGAAGAGCCAATGTGACAGTGCCTTGACAGTGAAGCAACACCTAGGAAGGTGGCATTAGTTGCTGCTGGTCTGCCCCTCCTGTAGGAGTGGGTTGGCTCTAGGCTCTGGTCCCGCAGGCCAGGCCCTCATGATCAAGGTGTGTGTGGAAGTCCAGCCAATGCTGCCCGAGTGGGTGTCAAAGCAGGATTTCTGACAAATTTAGATGATGAGCATATGTCAGGGTTTAGTGAACCAGAGAGAAAAGGGAACCATTTCCTTGTGTGTCAGGATGACCCAGGGCTCGTCCCACAAGTTCCAGTGAGGAACCGGGTGAGTGCAGGTCTGCTTTCTCTCCAGCTGGGAGTATTCTTTGTTCTCAGTGAGCATGGCTGGCCCCTGGTCAAGGTAGCCCCGCATTGTCTGGCTTTGGCACTGCACTCTGGCTTCCCAAGATCCTTGTCTTGAAACAACCCTGTAATTCCTGCAGAGGTCCCTGAGGGAGGCAGATGGATAAGATCTCTCTGTGACTAATGGACATGGTCCCATGCAGTGATGCTTCGCTAGGGGGTGCTGTGGGGCCCCAGAGAGGCTGAGCCCCAGGAGCCGTGATCAGAGGGAGGTGGCCGGCTGCCCTGACTCCCTCTGCTGTCCTGGTACCCCAGGCTAGACAAGGCAGTCTGGAGTCTACCTCTCCCCACGGCTGGCAGGACCTGTTCACAGGTAGCCTGGGGGCACGGGCCTGTCATGGGTACCCCTGTTTGGTTTTCAGGCCCCACACTGGCACTAGTTGGGCAGGGTTTCTAAGCATCCAGCAGGTGGCACTGCCATCCAGCCAGAGGAAGCAGCCAGCAGGTGCTTTGTGTAACCCATTTGCCTGGCTGGGACCCGAGCTTTTAGGCAGCCTGAACAGGCTCCTCCCTGCTCCCCTACCCTTGAGGCACTGTGCCCTCGGCTCTAGTATGCCAGTAGTTGGGGGCGGGGCTACTTTGCTCCCTGTCCTGGCTTCCCCTGCTCCCTGGGGCTGCCTGAGGTGAAGGTGACAGGTGGGGGAGGCAGGTGAAGAATTGGGCCAGTGAGCTCATGACAAAGGCACCCAGAGCTCTCTGATGAGCTCTCTGGCCTATATAGCCCCCAGTGCCTTCTGCCTGCAGAGGGAGGCAGTTATGGACGGCACCATGGAGGGCCCACTGGAGAGCTCCGAGGCGGTGCAGAAGGCCACAGCACTCATCGAGCAGCGGCTGGCACAGGAGGAGGAGAGTGAGGTGGGAACAGGGGCATGGAGGCCTGACAGAGTGTGGGGACATCCATCTCTTTTGTCATGAGAAGGAAGAGCCTGGCCGTTGTACTGTGGTGGTGGGGTGGGTGACAAGTATCCCCAAGAGCCCTGCTAGGCGCATTCCTGGCAGAGAGGGTTGCTGGTGATGAGAGACTGAGGCTTCAGTCTCCAAAACAGAGTAGTGGTCCATGGGAGCCAAGACAAGCTTCCCAAGACCCTTTCCACCCAACTGGGTTTCAGGAGACCGGCCAGGCTGTACAGGGCAAACAGTGGGCACTGCCTGTGAACTTCAGGATTTGTGGCCCTGAGAACCCCCCGCTGCTTCTGGGAGGCTGGGAAGGAGCAACTTCCTGAAGTTGGGTCACTACAGGGGAATAAAGACTGGGACTGTGCCTCAGCATAGTGGTGCCTGCCTGTAATCCCAGCTATCCAGGAGGCTGAGGCAGGAGGACAGAATGTTCAAGGCCAGCCTGGGTGACATAATGAGATCCTGCCTCAAATAAAAAGGACTGAGGATGTAGCTGCAGTAGAGTGCTTGCCTAGCATGCACAATGCCCTGGTTTCAATTCCCAGTACCCCCCCCCCCAACACACATATAAATGGTACCAAGCGATGAAGGGATGCTGGGAAAGGAAGCATTGATTTCCCCAGTACTGCAGCCACATGTGGGGAGTCCTTGGTGGCACAATTGCATTTCCTCTAGGATAAGGAAGAGGGCAGGAGTGCAGTCTTGTCATACTCTAAATCATTTATTTATTTGTTTATTTTTGATACTGAGGATTAAACCCAGGGATGCTTTACCACTGAGCTGAGGTGTATCTCCAGCCCTTTTTATTTTATTTGAGACACAGTCTCACCACGATGCCTGGGTTGGCCTTGAATTTATGATTCTCCTGTCTCAGCCCAGAAGTGACACAGCAGCATGACTCCCCTCCCTGGCACTGACCAGCCATGTGCACACGCCCTTAGGGGAATGAGAAGTTGGATTCCTGGAGATCCAGGGATGCCCCTCTTCCCTTGAGTTCTGATCCTTTTACTTTTTCTTACTTCTCATTCAGCCACACTTCCTTTTGTGAATGGTGTGTTCCTCTGAACTGATCTATTATCTCCTCCTGAGGGGGAGGGTGTGTTGGGGATTGCATCCAGGGGTACTTTACCACTGAGCTACATCCTTAGTATTTTTCTTTTCCTTTCCTTTCCTTTTTTTTTTTTTTTCTTTTGAGATAGGATCCTCACTAAGTTGTTGAAGGTCTCAGATTTACAATCCTCCTGCCTCAGCCTCCTAGGTGGCTGGCTTACAGGCATATGCCATGATACCCAGCTATCTCCCTCTTTCCATTCCTGTTAGAACTAGCCTTTCTCCATCCTACAAGTCCTTCTCAGGGCCATCAGAGCTTCCTTACTAAAATAGGTCAGAAGGTACCACTCTCTACTCAACAACACTTAGTGGCTTCCCATTGCCCACAGAATAATGGCTTTCTCTGATTTGTCCTCTGTCTCCCTTTCTGGCCTTAGCCCCTCCTATCAGACTTTCTTATTAGTTACACTTTCTCTTATGGATACTTTAGGTGCTGTCATTTCCTTGGCCTAGAATATTCTCCCCAGTTCTGATCTCCACTTACCACTCTTGAAGGTCCAACTCTAATATCATCCATCCCACAGAGTAGTCCTTGAAGGCCTCCAGATGGAATGACCCACCCACCCTTTGTGCTTCTTCACTACTGATCCATATCTCCATTTAACCATTTCTACTTGACTATGAAACTGAGAAATATTGGCTGAAATGAATGCAGAGTTGGTGAAAAGAAGGTAGGGTCTGGGCTTTATTGGTCCTTCCATTCCTCTCAGCATTGGACTCTTGGCAGAGCAGACACTAGGCCAAGTGTTAGTTTAAATAAAATTTAGACAAACTGGGGATGGTGCACAAACCTGTAATCCCATTGACTTGGAAGGCTGCCACTGGACACAGGAATCTTCAGTAAGGGGACACAGAGCAGTACTCTTCCATTCATTCATCTAACAAATATAGCTGCAGGGCTATCAGGACACCTGGTGCCCTCAGAGCCAACCTCCCCATCCAGTGCCCACTCTTGCCAGGCACTTAGAGACATTCTTTCATTTAATATGCATAATCATCTGTGAGGTAAGATGGGAGCACCTATTTCACAGCCCACAAGGCTGAACCTGAACTGAGGGGCTATGAATAAGACGTGGGTGGCATTAGAGTCCATATTTGTTCCCAGCAGGCCCCAGCTCAGCAGGGTTTTCACAGAGAGCCTCTGGCTAGCCCATGCCCCCTTCCAATGGTGTGAGGAGGTCTCAGGAGCTGCTGGATCTCTCTTGTGGGAGCTTTCTGGGCCAGGTCATCACTGAGGACTTAGGGATGGGCAGAGATGCTGAGCCCGCCTCCCGTTTCCATTCACTCATTCCTTTGTTCATTCACCATAAATTCTTTGAGCACCTACAATGTGTTAGGCCTGTCACAGGTGCTGGGGACACTAAGCCCGCCCTCTGGATGCTCCTTGGGGAGCCCAGCCAGAGTCCCACATGCAGCAGTAGCTGCAGTCCCAAGTCATCTCTTATCCCTGGAAGAAGATGCAGTGTTTCAAGTGAGGCCAGCACTTGGGAGACCCCAAGCCATGTAAGCCCGACAAGAAAGAGAGAAGGCAGTAGTTGACAGATCCTTCAAAATGGAGACCTGGGGAACTGGGGATGGGGATGAAGCTCAATGGTAAAGCACTCGCCTGGTCTACATGAAGCCCTGGGTTTAGTTCAAATAGGAGACCTGGAAAATAAGCCCTCCAATCCATCTTGGAAGAGGCCTACTCTGGGACTCAGTGAGAAATGAGAAATGCAGCTGGGCACCATGAAGGTACCAGTCCCCTCAGCTGCCCTCCAGCCTCAGCACTCTCCAACCTGGGCAGAGGTTTCTGGGCTGGCATCTACACAATACATGGGCATGGGGGCTCCAGGCATGGGGTGCCAGCACTTCACAAAGAGTAAAGAAGAAGTCTTGAAAAACAGAGTTACAAATGGAGAGAAGATCTGGAAGGGAGATGAACCATTATTACAGTGAGAATACAGTGGCTGCTCAGGATCCACCTCAGCCTGAAAGCTGAGAAGCTGCTCCCATCCCTTAGTTTCCCTGAGAGCAATAGTTTCCAAGCTTTTTGGGGGAAAGTCAATGTCTAATATAACTGCCAACTTTTTATATTGTCAAGAAGTCTACTTAAAAATAATGTAAAATAGAAGTTGGGAACAGTGGTGCATGCCTATAATTGCAGCTACTAAGGAGGCTGAGGCAAAGGATCACAAGTTCGAAGCCAGTTTGGGCAACTTAGAGGGACCCTGTCTCAAAAATACAAAATTTAAAAGGACCAGAAATGAATTTTAGTGGTAGAGCATTCAGCTAGCATACATGAGATCCTGGGTTTGCTCCCCAGCACTGAAAAAAAAAAAAAAGAATTTAAAAACTACCATTTCAGATCACAATTTTCTCATCAATATGATTTTTTTTTTGGGGGGGGGACTGG